GTTGGTTTAGTAAACTCAGTAGCAACTGTACAAAAAAACAAATACATAGTGATTAATCATTTCTCACCTTTCAAAGTGTTCATCAGTGTCACTATATACGCTGTGTAAAGTGTGTGAGTAAAAGTTTTGTCCTATTTGGGATAATTTAATCACATTGTCCTTAAAGACCTTCTATCTATAAATTTTAAGATTTATAAACCCAATTTTAATATCCAAGCCCATATTTCAACCTTTAATTAGAAAACTGACACATTAAATTTAAAGTTGAATGCCTGGAGCTATCCTAACATTTTAATGTAAACACCTACAGTTACACTTCACAAAAATTCCTCTCCAGGAAAGAACTTTGAAGGCACCCCTCTTTTTATATCTTATCATACAATTAGCTCCTTCTAGAATTCTCTATAAATGACAAGGTCCAGGTGGCTGACACTCAAGTTTACTTGTGACTAACATACCTCCATAAATACCTTTCATTTTAAAGACAGTTGTATTATTATTATTATTTAGGTTAAAATGTGTTGACATGAAAAGCAAACTGAATTAGAACTTCTCTATTCTGATCAACACCAAAAGTACCATGTTTTAATATCATACTTATTTTCTGGGTCCCTAATAAAGTAAAGACAATTAAACAGTCATTCTTTTAAATTGTGATTTCTTCAAGTATCTGGTCCACAAAAAAGTTTTCTGGCCCCCAAATATCTTAAAGAATGAATTCAATTGCATATTTAAAATCTGCAAATATGGAGGCTTTCATATCGTGGCAAACACAAAGGACAATTAATAGTGTTAACATTATCCATTTTCCCAAAACTCAATAATCTCTTTGTAAAAGCAAGCCTAATCCAGATTTAAAGATTTCATTTTATTTAAGCTTTTTTTTTCCTTAGGCAAACTGGTAAAAAGGGTATAAATAAACCTTGAGTTTTTATTTTTCAATTCACCTAATGGTTTACTTATGTCTCAAATTTTCTTGTGTTTAAATCTTATTTTAGAATCTTTATGATAGCAGAAATTGTTCTCCTTAGGGTCCAAATATCCAAAATTATCTCTGGCCACTTAAAACAAAGTTTGCCAAATTCTCCTGAATTAAAAAAGGCCATTTAATTTACAAAATAGACTTTACAGAACAGTGCAGTTTTTGAAAATATCACTAAAAGTAAGAGGCATTAACTCTTTTTGAATAGAACTTCCTATTTCCAGAAAATTGCAAAGTCCCAGCAATTCCAAGTGGAGTCAAAATGAGATTATCACTGAGATTTCAAAGCAGATTAGAAGTGGAGACATACTCCACCAACGCTTGAAATGGAAAGATAAAACGTATATATATTTGATAAGAAAGTAAAGGCTTACGTGTTTACATGTTACTGGCACAATATAGTTTCTGAAAGACAATGTCTGTTCAGATTTTTTTCTTGTGTGAGACTATCTTAAAATAGCACGGTATAATCATATAAAAATTGTAACTTTCTACATTTTAATACTTTCATGTCAATTTTTATAAGAACTACCAATCATTTCCCCTAAAGTATAATTTAATATGGTACATTTTTTTCTCTATAGGAATCCATGACTCAATGTGTATAATCATTAGGTTGTAGAAAAACAAGATATTTGCTAAGAAGTTCCATGTTTTCACGAAGTATTATGTTTATGATGAAACATGGCTGAAAATCGTAAAACCAAGATGTAGAGCTATTACAAGGCAAAAGGTTCCCATGTAGGTTCAAGAGATTAGACATGCAAAATAAATTCTGGCACTAACTAAAGACAAAGCTTTATTACTAAATTCTCATCAGAAGATGAAGACTATAAGAAATCGGGATGTGACAGAAAAGAGCAATGTACCAAAATTTGAACAGAAAACATGAAAATGTTCTGCAGCAATAGGGGGGCTCTTGTGGCCGTTCGGATAGTTGTCACTCTGCCATAGCCTTTCCTTAATCAACCAAACAAAGAAACACACAAATAAACAAAATCACCCCTCTGTTCTCAGCCCTCTGCTCTCCAGAAGGGCAATCTTCCCTCCCCCTGTCACTTGTGATTTGTAGGCCTTGCCCATGGTTCTTGCACTGCCCTGTGCCATATTTTTAAGGTGGCTGCAGGTCTGTAGATGCAGTACACAGTACAAACACACATTCTGGATCCTGGCATGATGTCGGGCCAGGCTTATGTTTTCTCTCTCCACAGATGCAACGGAGTTATCAAAACAGAGCCAGGCAATCCCATCACTCTCCTGATAGGCAGTGAAGATGCAGCCCAGTGATGCCAAAGGAAGTCCAGCCTCTGTCCCATGGTGGTGTCCCAAACACTACCTGACTACGGAATGTCACAGTGTACAATTCCTTTGTCCTATCTTATGGAAGAGAGGGGGCCCATTTCACGGAAGGAGATAAGAGAGAGAGTTGACACAACAGACAGTGACAGATTTATTACTATTTATCATAGTAAATATGTACTGAAGAAAACATATAAATATCTATCCAGTCGTATTCACTCCAAAAGAAACCTTTTACTGTCCCCAGCCTTTTATTATCTATTATTCAAATGCTCATAACATACTGAAACAAGTTACAGAAATATCTCATCAGATAATACTCATTTTCATTTGAATTTTAAAAAAGAATAAGCATGGGAAAGGTCTAAAAATATGGAATATAGATTTCCTGGAGCAAAACTGTTATACTGTCTAGTACAAAATGTTTCCTGGAATCAAGTTTAAATCATTTTGTGTGATGGTAAGTCATGAGGTCTTGTTGAGTAATAAGCAATTATTATTACTTATAAATATTATTATTACTTATAAGTAATAGCAATTATTTATAAGTAATAAGCAATCAATATATACAACAAAGCTAATATAAAGTGAGATGACTCCTATTTCAACAGAACGGAGATATTTTTGAAGTACCAAGTAAATAGGTGACTGGATGTTTAAAGTACTCAAACTACCTTATTCTTCCTATTCAGGAAAAAAAAAAAAGGACAAAATTTCCACTTTAATTGAATTTCCCTTCTCTTTTTTATCTTTCAAAGGAGAGCTATTCACCAAAATATTCCTTAAAGAGATTAAAACATCTAGCCAAGAAAACTCTCTGCAGAGTTAATCTTAAACTGACCATCAAGAGCGAAAAATTAGATAATACAAACTAAATTTCCAATTACTGACTTATTACAAAGAAGGAAAAAACACACTTGTATTTCTGAACATATTACAATAGACCAACAACACATAAATTGTGTTAATAGAAAGAAAAAAGTCTGTACCAGTAAAAAAATTTTTTGGAAGCAGTTCTAGAGAAATACTTAAAAATTTACAGTGAATTAAGAAAAATTGTTGACCATGCTTTTAATATCTAACGTCACACCAAGGTACTCCTTAGAAACTGTGTATTTCTGCATAATTTTAGCAATAAAAAGCAGACTAAGCTAATTTTAATATGAGGCATAAACAGGACACAATAGCTTATTTTTGTAGCTTTTAGAGTTCAAAGTTATTTTGCTCTTCTAGGACATTTAGATGCCCATTTAATGTACTTAATATTGTCCTTATTAAGTTCAGTCATGTTTACAATGTAAACAGCTGTGAGGATGTCATCTTTTGAGGTTCTCATAAAAGCTATTAAAAGCTAAAATTCCATCTACATTAAATCTACCACTAAGTTGAAGCTTCAAATATACTTATAAAAACCTTTGACAATATTAAGTCAACTTCAGTACAATACTGACATTCAAGGAATAACAACTCACTTATTGGTAGTGTAAAACGACTATTTTATACATTATTGGCAGTTTTACTGACACAATATTTTTCCATATTTATGGATAATTTTGTGATGCTTCAGCAATATTATCAAGTCTGATAATCAGCATATAAAATTCACGCTTCTTTCTGATAAGACTTATCCCGCTATATTCATTTAATAATTTTTTGCATGAGCTAAACTGAAATCAAGTCAAATACACAGGTGTTTGGGTTAATCTAATCTCAACACATTTGCAAACCCCATTATTTTCCAAATTTATTAAAAATGAAATAAAACTAATATGTCATCATTGATTGGCAAACTATTTTCAGATATCTAAATATAATTTTATGCTGAAGCGTAAGTACTTATCAGGTCCTGTAGCTACACTTTTCATATACAAGCACTCCACAAAATTAAAACTGTCTGTGCACACATATCACAGAAAGAACAGGGAGAAAAAGAAGAGGAAGCAAGGAGGAAACAATGAAAGGAGGAGGAAATATTTCTATTTCACATAAGGAAAAAATTTCTAGAAATAGATCCGTTCTAAATAAAATGAAATAAAACATCTATGATCCAAAATAGGAAAACACATACGAATTCCAATTAAGAGAACATGTATTTAGTGTGATGATAAACCTATTTTTCCTGCGCTGGGGCCTAGACACCCTCAGCAGCTCCTGAACACAGCTCCAGCTAATAAGAAGACCCAGAATGCTTTGGTTACAGCTGGATTCTTTCAGTCATCACCTGGTTTGACAGACAGGAACAGCTACTGATGCAGCTACCTGTGCAGTCTTCATTCAGCAACCTCTCTAGAAAATAGAGACATTCTCCCTGCACCCTGAGCTGAAACCCATGTAAATTTTTCCTAAATCCGCTCCACAAATCTCCTTTCGCATGCAAATCCATAAATCATCATAATACTGACAAAGAATTTAACCAACACATGAAACTAATACTCATTCTCTTGAAAGCCCTGTGTAGGTAAAAGTCCTCGAACTTCAGGCACCCTTTCAAGGCTCTCTTCAGAGCTTAACCTGCGGAATATCAACATAACCACCCGGTCTTCCGGGCCCTGCAATTAATCACTCCAACGTGGGTCAGGTGGCTGGACGTGCAGGTCATTCCCACCTCTCCTAGTTTCTAGATAAACACGCTGCACTGTGTGCTGGGAAATCTCATTTACTTCTATCTCCTTCATACTAATACAAAATACCACAAAAAGCAGAAATAAGCAGCACTTACTGAAGATGGCAAACCTGGAGGAACTTTTCGAACTTTCTTTGTCTGCACCTCTGAAAGAGAATGAAGATGCTGTGAGCTCCCACATGCCCACTTTCCACACTAAAGCATATTAAACCAGCACGCCATTGAGATTAGGCCAGATTTTCTTACATCACCACAGCACACTGCAGTTATCACCATTACCTTCTATTTTAGCAGAAATCAAATTCTACTTTATCCATAAAAATCAAGACACTATTCCACTTGTTACTGCTTTGAACTTTTCTTTTTAAGGTTCCCTATGTGTGCGGCCAAAAGAAACCCAAATATGAGCAGACACCAAGCAAGTTTTACTGCTACTGTAAGTTATTAACATATCCACTCAGTGGGTTCCTGGAGAACTAGATGTCACCAGTCTGAAAACTGAGGCAAACTTTATTGGGGGTGGGTGGACACAGGGTAAGAGGGTGGCATTTTTTTTGAAAAAGGAAGGAAAAAAAAAAAAAAAAAAAAACCACTAATGGACAACGAGAAACTGAAACAGGAAGACCTTACCCATGGCGCTACTGTGAAGAGGCCTCCGTCGGGGGTTATTGCTAGAATATTGATAGTACTGGGAGCCAGGTTTGGTGGGCGAAAGGGTTCCTGGATTGCCCATATCCATGTCCCCTCCAAGGAGACTCTGCTGAAATGTTAAAAAAATAAATAAATAAACATATAAGGTTACTTTCTTACATTCACCACCTCCTAAATGATTGTTAATACTTTTAAAAACCAAAGCAACAGAAAAAACAGCATCTGCTAAGCTGAAATAGCAAAACAAAACCAAAAAGAGAAAAGCAGTCTAAGAAGCTATTCTCAAATTGGTGAAATTTTTAATTCTTCAGTTTTGAAAGGAAGGTAGAGGATGCTCATTAAACCATACATGTTTTCATCTTTTCAGATGACAAACAGTTTAATTTCCTAAGAAAATGGCATTTCTGTAAGACAAATGTTTTCTTTCTTTAGACATAGGCTCATATCTGGGAAGTATTCATGCCCTTCCTTTACAAGGACCAACAAGAATCTCAGTTTGTGAGCACACACAACTCCCCCGGCTGTGTAATGGGGGCGAGGGTGGATGATCATCTGTGCTGGGAGCCTGCCTCTTGCACCAGCACACCCTCAGCCTTCACAGTTGCACCGGCACCCACAGAGGACAAGGCCAGCTGAACCGAGAGGGAATTCACGTCCTCATGCTAAAACTTTCCAAATCATACAGAAAGTAAGCATTCTAAACTAACACTAACAGGAACTAAGGGCTATCAGAAGCTAAAACACATCCCTGAAGATTAAACATTTACCTGAACACTAGAAAACTTTCACAAATATCATTAACTTATCACGGCATGACAAATTGCTACACTTTCAAAAATGATAACATAAGGAAGATTATATGATAGTATTTCATTTTCTAAAAACTTACCCATAATATATAAATCATCTGATTATACTCTGCATTGAGCACACTGTTCTTTTAATTATTCTGATATGCAATAAAACAAGTGTAGATAGTACCATTTATATTAAGAACAAATTTACTTTTAATAAAGAAATTTTAAAATTAAGTACCAAAAAATCTAACTTTATCGTTACTTGTAATCAACTTTTACTGACTGAACTAATTACTGTCCTTGATAAAGTACAGAATGTGTTTTCCCTAATCTAAATTCTAATCACCATGTCACTCACAACAGACTTAGGGATGCTTCACTAACACACTATTCACATGCAAAATACTCTAAATAGGCCAATTATGACTCTGCCCCTGTTCCCTGGTTAACCCGCTGAGAACTGAAAAATTTCACAAGGCAGTCACCAACTAAAACAAAGGGTCCTTGTTTTAAATTAAGACAGTCTTTTTGATTCCTAAATAGCTCAACAAAGTGGCATGTCTTCTAGTGAAAGCAGTTGGTCAAATATGACCCATAAGCTGGAAAATCAAAAATTCAAAGCTCTCCTTTCTACCGCCATATAGCTAAATATCATAAAGAGACCTCTCTCTATTGCAAGAGATTTTTGTGAGTGTTGGATGAGTAATATATAAAGGACTAATCAGCTACTGACAAGCTTGCCTTCACTGCTTCCAGCCTGCAACTATTTCAAGGGACACACAATAAATATTACTTTAAAATAAAACTTCAAAGATGAAACTTTAAGGTTGAAAGCACATATTGAATAATAAACTCGTTGCTAGTATCTTTTTATTTACCATATATAAATACCTGATAGAAACTAGACTGTTTACCAGCTGCTGTGCTCCTGCTGGATTATTACCTCTCTTGAGCTAAAGACTAAAACGCTACCCAATGACAAACTAAAATATAGAGTTCTTTATAACAAAGTTTTCTATCATTCGAGAATCAAAAAGTGGAACATCAAATAATTTTTAACATTTAGAAATTGCCTTGGAAAATTTTAGAATCTAAACCTGGAATTTCACTCTTGGCAACTCTTACTAACAAAGTCTGTATTTATTTATTTAAGTCATAATCCAAATTTTCTTTGAAATTTCCATCTAGAAAGCTGTAAATGATAAATCACAACCTCCTTAAAGTTTGACAAATCTACAAATGAATCTTCACACACTTGGGAAAAGGAGTTTGAAAATGGTTTCTATTATTGCTATTTATTATTATTATTATTATCATTATTATTTTACAGTACTGGGTATTGAACTCAGGGCCTCATGCATGCTACATTTAATTATATCCCCATCCTCATTGAAATTATATTATTAATAACAATATTTACCAATAATACAGATACTGTGTTGACAGACATTACTGCTATTTCTCCATTTTTCTGTTTTCTAAAAATATACAGAATTCTCAGGGCTAAGCACATATGCTAAAACGCTGTTTCTCTTTTTAGTGTGCCTAACCACTGGTTAATTCTTGTTGGTCTTGGTGGCAAATGTTTCATTCTCCAGAAAGTAAATGCATTTAGTAGATCAACCTAAAAGCAAACATGCTTGTTACTCTGGATTTTAGCAGCATTCACAATAGAGCTGTGAAAAATATAAGATGATAAAAAGAAGGCAGCTAACTGGCTGGGGCTGACCTTATTGTTGTTAATTTAACAGAAAATCACTTCATGGGCCAGTTACAAATAAATCACGCATCCAACTCACGCATATGCTGCCACATGAACTACGCAGAGTGACACTGGACAAAGACCAGATAGCACTTACACACTTAGTGGCTCATATTAATCCTTAAAAAAAAGCACATTCCTGTTTCTTTTTATACCTGCTTGTTCCTTTTTCTTTTTCACTTGGACAATAGAATCATTCTTGTAAAGCAACAAAAACAAACATTTCCTTACACTTAAGGGAGCCATAATCACCCCCTTTGGGAAAATGAAGATAAAAATATATGTGTTCTTATTATAGAGCACACTTGTAAAATGAACAATGACCATTTACTATTGTTTGGCCCTTATGTCACATACTTAACACTGCAGCCATGAGAAAGATGAAAAAAATTTCCACTGGCTGAAAAACTTGACTTTCCATGTTTGAAAAAGTCAATGGCATTTGATTTAGGTAAATTAAATAGTCACAAAATGGATAAGATTTTCATTTATATGGGGATTTACATATACACTTAATTCTGAAGACAATTTCATGCTTATTAAAAGTTAAGTTTCAAAGCTAAGTCTTCTTTCAAAATGGGCAAATTCATCCTTGCCTTAAATAAGATCATAAAGATTTTAGGTTTCTCGCATTGTGCAACCTCATGCACTGTGGTTGTTCTGGGCCCCCATAGCCAGCTGCCCCAGTCTGCCAGGAAACACTGGAAGCCAAGATGTGGCCTCTCACAGAGCTAACCTGTAAATCTTAAACCCTGGTTTAGCATTTTGCTTAACTGTCCACGGTACGATGAGACAAGCCTTTCCCCCTTAATTTCATCCAAACGCAAACAATTTCAAGTCTTAAAATACCCTAACCAAACAATAAAATACACTGACTTTGTCAACGCGTTTAAATGTCTTGGAGCCCCTGCAACCAGCTCTGCAGCACAGAGCCAGTTCTAGCACAGCCATTCAAATACCACTGCTGTTTCAATAAAAAATGTTTGTTTTACATTAGATTTGGGCCTCAGACTGTCCTAGCAGTCTCAGCTCTGTCCTTATGCCTTCGGAGAGATGCTTCCTACCATCTTTGATCAACCACTAAACTTTGCTTATGCAACCAAGAATGCAAAACCATGAATTAAACTTGAGAAACAGAAAAGCAGTATATGTCTCAAATTAGATTTATAACTGAATGGTAATCAAAAATAGAACTAGCTGCTTGAAGCTTAAATTATCAACTTTTTTTTTTCTTGTTAAACTAAAATCATCTTGCTCTGAACTATTATTTCATTTCAGTCAGCTCTTTAAATGTAATGGGTGGGTGGTTCATTTCTAAAAAGGAAGATTATATTTACCCCTAATTATAGATATGACTGAGATCAGAGTACGATGTATGTGGCTTTTTGGACTTAAAATTAATTTATCTAATAGATGAATGACCTTGGATTTTAGAGTTGGGACTTGGGAGAGGGAAGAAAATAAGTGCAAGGGGGAAAAAAATCTCTGGGGAAAAATGTGCCCCAGGTTTTTAGGGCTTTCTCTAATTTTGCGTCACTCTCATTACGTTGTGATCCGATATCAGACACAATATCTTGGGGGGGATGTTGTAGAACAGAGAAAAGCAGTCTCAGATGAAACCAGATTAAGCTCCTTTTCTGAACTATTGCCAAATGCTTGTGAGTCTAATTCATGTTTGGGTATTCTAGTACTCACACAGCTGCAATTCTATTCTTTCATCACAAACCTAAGTGATGTATAGTGGCTTTGTATGGCGAACTGACTCTGTAAAGCCAGGAATTTTTTTTTATGTTAATATGGAAATAAAATTCTGAACCACTTTAAAACTTATGAATGCTACATATTTGTATAGGTAACTAATAGACACTGCAGTGTTAAGTACAAAATATACATAGAGAAACATTACAGTGTAGATTTGTTTAAAACACTTTTCATCACAAATGAGGTCATTTCTACATAGTTAATTCTGCACGGAATCGGTTTTCAAAGACACTGCTGAATAAGATTCCTAACAGTCATGGGGAAGTTTTTGCAAATCCCTGTCGACTAGCTGCTGCTGAATTTGCCATTTTGACCACAGAAGGCCTATTGCTGACTTACTCTAGTAGCAGGAGGGGGCGATAATTTTGCTGCTGCTGGCACTTACTCTGCAACCTAGAATATATCTTGCACCAAAGGGCAATGAAGAACACAATATTTCCACCTGTCCACTTTTGAACGTCAAAGCTCAGAATGAAGGTCAGTCTTTGGACAGTCTTCATTCCTGATCCCTAGAGGTCCAGGAAGGCACCTTCATACTTTAATTTGACTGTACTCCTCTGCCTGGTTTCAACAAAAGACTCGGGAAACTTTGACAAGATGTCAGAGGGACTTTTGATAATCAGGGGACTTAAGGAAGTGTTACAGTGCTAAAGAGAAATACAAATTTTTAAATAATCATTTAGCAAATAGTTTCTTACAAGGGCTTATAGTGAAGTTTTCAAATATCTACATTAAATGTGTAATGTTGATCATGTTCGGTAACAAGTCAGCAGTAGAATACAGACACAT